GGTCGGCAAACTGCGGCTCACGAGCCACTTGAGGCTCTTTGGCCCCTTGAGTGTGGCTCTTCCTAAGCCTTAGGAGTACCCTAATTAAGTTAATAACAATGTACCTACCTATATAGTTAAAGTTTAAAAAATTTGGCTCTCAAAAGAAATTTCAATCGTTGTATTGTTGATACTTGGCTCTGCTGACTAATGAGTTTGCCAACCACTGCTCTAGGTCGACTGTCATACCTGCCACTCCCATATCTCGGTCCATGCCCATGGGCCCCAAAGTTTGGTTCCCTGGGCAGACTTGCCTACATGGTTCACACAGGTCTGGCAACAGTCCAGAGACTCTCCATTCAGGGCTCTCATGGCATCTGAAGCATTCTTTGGACTGGTGAAGATAATGAAGCCAAAACATTGGGATCACTGAGTCTCTGGTCCTCGACAACAACGACCTCAGAAATAGTCCTGAAGCTGAAGTGATCTTCCAGAGCCTACTCATCAGTGTTGAAATTGAGCCCTCCAACAAAGAGCTTCTCTCCTTCAGAGGACATGCAGTGAATCTGAGTCCTGGAAATTCAGAAGCAAAAGGGTTGAGTATTGACCTCTGAACCAGGAGGTTACGTTAGATTCCTGGTCAGGACACATGCCTGGGTTGCCAGTAGAGAGTGTTCAGGAGGCAGCCAATCAATGATTTTCTCTCATCATTGATGTTTCTATCTCTCACTCCCTCTCCCTTCCTCTCTGAAATAAATAAAACATAAAATAAAATCAACAAAAAGTAAAAGGGCTAGATGGAAAGTTAGCACTGAACTTCTTCTTCTTTTTTTTTTAAATATATTTTATTGATTTTTTACAGAGAGGAAGGGAGAGAGAGAGAGTTAGAAACATCAATGAGAGAGAAACATCGATCAGCTGCCTCCTGCACATCTCCCACTGGGGATATGCCCGCAACCCAGGTACATGCTCTTGACCGGAATCGAACCCGGGACCCTTCAGTCCGCAGGCCGACGCTCTATCCACTGACGCAACCCGGTTTTGGCAAGCACTGAACTTCTTTACGAACATTGTTAACCCGTCATGTCTACTAAGTTCAAAGCCATGAGAATATTCAAAGTACAACCTACAAAGCAGTTATTTAAGATTACTATGGAATCATACAAATTGGGAATGCTGAGAAAATGGTGAGATGAAATGACAGTATAAATGACTCTAGGAAAAGAATCATGTGACATGTGAAAGATAATCATAATACATGTCTGCAGTGGATGATGATCAGCAACAGAGCATAAAAGTACTTCAGGAGATAAAAGCAACTCTTGAGTTTGATTTGCAACAATGTTGGATGACCAATTAATTCAGAAGTTGAGCACTCAGACAAATTAGGTAAATCTGGTTCTAATCTATAATAATAAAAGCATAATAGGCTAATTAGACTGGACGTCCTTCCGGATGACCTTCCAGACAAAGCCAGGGCTGTGAGGGAAGCCCAGGTCCCAGGTGCTGGAGGGAAGCCTCAGTCCCGGGTGCCAGAGAGAAGCTGGTGCTGGCAGCTGGGGGAAGGAAGGCCTACTCTTGCATGAATTTCGTGCATTGGGCCTCTAGTAAAAAATAAAACAAGCTAGTAATTTCTATGGATTCAACTTATTTGAATTGAATGTACAATCAGCATAAGTGGTGGAACCTTTAGAATAGAATTCACCTGCTGCTATGGGATTCTTTGTTAGAGGACATTAAATTAGGTGTGTGGTTTGGGGGAAGAAAAGTCTTTTATGTTTCTCGGAAGGTTCTCTCTTGGGCCCACTCCTTTTTAGTATGTTCAACTTAAGCAAATTAATTTTTTGGATTCTTTATCTGTAAAACTGAGGATAATAATAAATAATAGTATCCTCATAAGGTGTTTGGGAAAATTAAATGAGTTAATACATATGAAGTACTAAGAAAAGGACATGGAACAGAGGAAGGGCTTACTAATTAGCTATGGCTATTATTACTAACACTTTTTCCAGGGCAAACTCATTTTGTCAACTATTACTGGGAGCTTTATGATTTCTAAGTCTATCAGACATCTTGGTCCTATTATTTCATCTACCTAATAGGCATCTCTGCTATATAAATGGCACCTCAAGTGAAATAAATCAACTACCTAGAATATGATTTCGGTTCTGGCCAGTTTGGCTCAGTTGTTTGGAGTGTCATCCAATACACTGAAAGGTTGCAGGTTCAATTTCTGGTTTGGGCACATACCCAGGTTTCGGTTCAATCCCTGGTTTGGGCGGGTATTGGAGGCAACCAGCCAATGTTTTTCTCTCTCTTTCTCCATTTCCCTCTTACTAAAATAAATCAATAAGCATGTCCTCAGGTGAGGATTAAATTAATTAAAAAATAGGATTTCCACCCCAAATGAGGTTCTCTTTACATGCATGTTAATGTATGTCAGTCACGCTGGTAACCTCAGACTCATCATTTCCTTTTCTCTTGTTCACATCCAATGTGATTGAAATAGAACAAAATGCTGTTTTTTCCTTTTTATAAAGGCAATACTTGTTCATTGTAGAAAACTTGGAAAATATGGAAAAATAACAAATATTATCCATAACAATAACATCCTAAACTTTGTTAAGAATTTCAACATAATTTTCTATTTTCCCAGATATTTAAGAGAATATATATACATGTGATCTTTTAAAATCTAAAAATGTCTTCACTATTGGAAACATTTTGTAAAACTTGTTTTCAACTGAGATTTTAAAATTCAAATTCTAAAGAAAACATTTTTGAAGGTTTGGAAAATACAGATAACTCAACATCTTGAGATAATTACTGTTAACATTTTGGTGTACCCTGTTTTGCTACTGAAATATAAATTTGGGGGGCATTCATATGTATGTACACATAGGTGTAATCCTATCTAATGAAAGAGAAACATGGTAATTGGCATACGACCGATACCCTTCCCATTGGCTAATCAGGGCGATATGCAAATTAATCACCAGCCAAGATGGCAGTTAACCCCCAACAAAGATGGTGGCTAATTTGCATACTGCAGGCAGGGCAGGACAGCGCCATCCCGCCTGCCCCGCTGCCATCCGGGCCTGCTATTTGCCCCTATGGGAACAGACCCAGGGCTGGCAGCGGGACCCCAGCCATCGGCTACCGGCCAGCCCACAAACGGACCTCCCAACGGGATCCCGGGCTGAAGGCACTGATCCGCCCCCAGCCACACCCACAAACTTCCATCCTGAGGGGATCTGAGGCTGACTGGAGCTAATGCACAGATCTGCCACTGGCCACGCCCACAAACGGCCCTCCAGGGGGATCCCCAGCCGACAGGTGCTAATGCACTGATTTGCCAAAACGCACACCCAGGCAGCCTTTGCCCTGCACGAACTATGCAGCCCGGAGAGGGGAGTGGGGCCGCTGGGAGCAGGGCGGGAACTTCCCGGGGTTTGAGTCAGGCAGCTCAGAGCAGAGTGCGAACTATCCCCGTTGGCAGCTGCAAACCCTCTCAGGTCCATGGCACCAGGTCAGGCACTGAAGGTGAAGCAGGATAAGACAGAGCTATGTCCTCAAGATGTTAGTAAATCAGTAGGGTGAAGCAGGCACATGAACGAGGCAGTTGTATGCACAGATGCAGTGTACTGGGTTCTGTGAGGGCTGTAACTAATGCCGACTTTGTTCTCTTGATAAATTGGGGTCTTGGGAGTCAGGCTGCCCCAAGCCTGTAAGCCTGTGCCTAGGCGAGGAGTGGCCGGGGTCCCGGAACATGACAGAGGGTGCAGGTCGGGCTGAGGGGTCTGGCCCCACTCCTCTCCCTTACCCCTGAGTGCACAAATTTTTGTGCACTGGGCTACTAGTATAGTTATAAAAGTCCAAAAACAGTATTTGTGGCCTACCTTAAATTATGCACTTCTAATTTTTCATATGCTTTTAAAAGCATGAATTAAATTTAACATATATGCTTCACACTCATACATGTCCGACATAATATATTTAACCAATTGTCTCCAAAAGGTTCCAATTGGAACACACTCACCAAAATGGCCTGAGTGCTAAAAAGAACAAAAGACCAAAACTTTCGAGAACGCATCAGGTAAAAGATCATTTCATTGATATAGTTCAGCAATTTTCAACCTTTTTCATCTCATGGCACACATAAATTAATTACTAAAAATTCTGTGGCACACTGAAATAATTTTTGCTGATCTGACAAGAAAAGGTATGATTTTGATTCATTCACACTAGATGGCTATTGTTGTGTGGGCTGTTGTCATTTTTTAAATATTAAAAATATTTTTATTGACTTCAGAGAGGGAGAGGGAGGATAGAAACATCAATGAGAGAGAATCATTGATCAGCTGCCTCCTGCCTGTCCCACACTGTGGATGGAGCCCCACACCCAGGCATGTGCCCTTGACTGGAATTGAACCTGGGACCCATCAGTCTTCAGGCCGAAGCTCTATCCACTGAGCCAACCCAGCTAGGGCTGTTGTCATTTTTTAAAATAAATTTTTTTATTCTTAATATGGTTTTTATTGATTTTTAAAGAGAGAAGAGAGGAGGCAGGGAGATAAAAACATCAAGGAGTTGCCTCCCTTAGAACCCCAGGGGTAGGGGATCAAACCCTCAACCTGGGTATGTGCCCCGACAAAGACTTGAACCAGCAACCTTTCGGTGCACTGGCCCACGTTCAACCAAGTGACCCACACCAGCCAGGGCTGTTGTCATTTTTTTTACTTGGCAATCTAAGGGAAAATAGGTCATTACCCGATTAAATAATCAGGTAGTACATGCTTTAAAAATTCTTGCGGCACACCGCTGAAAATCGCTGATCTAGTGTCTAGTCCTTAGCCCATGTCTGATGAAAAACACTTGTTTCCCAGACCAGCGCTGCCCATTCTCTGATAGCAAATAGGAATGTGACTTGTGACCCGCAGGCGCGGAGCCGGGGAGAAGGGGGCCAGGAGGAGATGCCATCAGGCCGTGCTCTGCGCTAAGTACGACCTGAGAAGTGCGCAGCCGGATGTGCGCATCGGAGTGCAGCCGCAGTCGTGGGCGAGGCGCATAGTGCTGACGCAAGACGCAGGCGGGGTGGTCCTCTCCTCTGCCCGAGACGGCGCTGCGTCACTAGCTTTAGGCGCTCGGCACTGGAAACGGTGACTGTTTGGGCCTCAGCGCTGGCCTGTCGCGCCCTGGGGTCCAGGCTGGCGGCGCGATGAGGCGCAGCAAGGCGGAGGTGGAACGGTACATCGCTTCGGTGCAGGGTTTCACCCCGTCGTCCCGAGAGGTGAGCCGGTACTGAAGAGACGGGTGGCTTCCGCCCAGGCCTGGCCGTGGCCCCGCGTGGCGCTCGCCTCGCGCCCACC